CATCCAAATCAGGTGAACGGTGTAGGAATTACAACAGTTTGCATATGTGCCTCTCACTTGTTATGGGACCAAAAGTAATGGGACAGAATAATAATCATAAATCAAACTTTCACTTTTTAATACTTGGTTGCAAATCCTTTGCAGTCAATTACAGCCTGAAGTCTGGAACGCATAGACATCACCAGACGCTGGGTTTCATTCCTGGTGATGCTCTGCCAGGCCTCTACTGCAACTGTCTTCAGTTCCTGCTTGTTCTTGGGGCATTTTCCCTTCAGTTTTGTCTTCAGAAAGAGAAATGCATGCTCAATCGGATTCAGGTCAGGTGATCGACTTGGCCATTGCATAACATTCCACTTCTTTCCCTTAAAAAACTCTTTGGTTGCTTTTGCAGTCTGCTTTGGGTCATTGTCCATCTGCACTGTGAAGCGGCGTCCAACGAGTTGTGAAGCATTTGGCTGAATATGAGCAGATAATATTCCCGAAACACTTCAGAAATCATCCGGCTGCTTTTGTCAGCAGTCACATCATCAATAAATACAAGAGAAGCAGTTCCAATGGCAGCCATACATGCCCACGCCATGACACTACCACCACCATGCTTCACTGATGAGGTGGTATGCTTAGGATCATGAGCAGTTCCTTTCCTTCTCCATACTCTTCTCTTCCCATCACTCTGGTACAAGTTGATCTCGGTCTCATCTGTCCATAGGATGTTGTTCCAGAACTGTGAAGGCTTTTTTAGATGTCGTTTGGCAAACTCTAATCTGGCCTTCCTGTTTTTGAGGTTCACCAATGGTTTACATCTTGTGGTGAACCCTCTGTAATCACTCTGGTGAAGTCTTCTCTTGATTGTTGACTTTGACACACATACACCTACCTCCTGGAGAGTGTTCTTGATCTGGCCAACTGTTGTGAAGGGTGTTTTCTTCACCAGGGAAAGAATTCTTCGGTCATCCGCCACAGTTCTTTTCCATGGTCTTCCGGGTCTTTTGGTGTTGCTGAGCTCACCGGTGCGTTCCTTCTTTTTAAGAATGTTCCAAACAGTTGTTTTGGCCACGCCTAATGTTTCTGCCATCTCTCTGATGGGTTTGTTTTGTTTTTTCAGCCTAATGATGGCTTGCTTCACTGATAGTGACAGCTCTTTGGATCTCATCTTGAGAGTTGACAGCAACAGATTCCAAATGCAAATAGCACACTTGAAATGAACTCTGGACCTTTTATCTGCTCATTGTAATTGGGATAATGAGGGAATAACACACACCTGGCCATGGAACAGCTGAGAAGCCAATTGTCCCATTATTTTTGGTCCCTTAACAAGTGGGAGGCACATGTGCAAACTGTTGTAATTCCTACACCGTTCACCTGATTTGGATGTAAATATCCTCAAATTAAAGCTGACAGTCTGCAGTTAAAGCACATCTTGTTCGTTTCATTTCAATTGCATTGTGGTGGTGTATAGAGCCATAAATGTTAGAGATGTGTCGATGTCCCAATATTTATGGACCTGACTGTATAGTGCAAGAACACCCTCTCATAAGCAAGTGAACTCCAATAGCATGATGAACCACTCAGCATTGGTAATTAGCTGCGATGTGCTGACTGCACAAATGAAAGAGAAAAGCTTGCACAATATTTAAAAAGCATAAATGTAAAATAAAATCATATAATAAATACATATCATTTAATTAAAGCACAGATTTTTGGAACAACTCTGCACAAAAAGTCCACTGTTCATTCATGGAAATAGGACTTGCTTACTATTCATAAAAATATGACATATCCCATTCTGAATTTAAACCTGCTTGTTTATTAGTACTCAGCGGAAAAATCCAAAATGCCTCTAGTTTACATAGGATCCTAAACCTGTCACTTCCTCTTTTGGAGGTGACAATTTTGTCTATGCTCTAAATGAACAGCACAGAGGTATCGCCTACATGACATTCGTTGAAATATGTGGCAACATTGGTCAGATGCTTTTTTCAATATTTTATACCTTTAAATGATCATGCGGATTGTCCCTTAAGCACCAAGTGGTACTACCGGCATATTGAATTGGAAAAAAAGCACAGGTAATTGAATATGCAAGTTTTCTAGTGTTACAATAAATGAAAGAGGTAATTTTAAAATCACTGTTATTACTCACAGAATGCACCGCTTCAGCTCTCATAACGTGAACAACAGGGACATACACTAGCTCCTTAATTGAAAGCACCTTTAAACTGAGGCCAGTGTGAAGCTGCAATGCTTTTACTAGAAGAATAGCTAGGTGATAAATACCTCCCAATATAGGAGCTCTGCATCCGTGATTGTGTGTTATATTCAAGCATCTACAATAAAGATGGTTTTAGATGCTCGAACGACAACCATTTTTGCCTTTCCTGTGAAGACAATTACGAGCTGGGCCTTTACCTAGTGTGCTATCAAGAGTGGATCAATGGACCGACCTGGAACAGTGCCTATTTTTTCTATTGAAGCTGAATCTGGATGCCAGAAAAATTGTTGTTAGATCCAGGAACCTTCAGGCCTTCACAGTGGATGCTCTAGTACAGGGGTCTCCAAACTTTTCATTCAAAGGGCCAGTTTACTATACTTCAGACTTTAGGGGGGCTTGATTGTGGTCCACGGGGGTAGAAAATGTCCCGGGACCAGGATCCGTGAGAATAAACATGGCCTTAGGATTGGTGGTCAGTAAGAGTATTGCCCCATCATTGGTATTAGTGGAAGGAATAGTAACCCATCGTTGGTATCAGTGGAAGAAATAGTAACCCATCGTTGGTATCAGTGGAAGAAATAGTGCACCATTGTTGGTGTCAGTGGGAGAAATAGTGCCTTGTGTTCATATGAATAGTGCCCCAAGGGCCACTTAAAGGCTGGCAAAGGGCTGCATCCAGCCCCCGGGCCACAGTTTGGAGATCTCTGCTCTTTTAACTTAGTGGGTTTAGTTTCTCTTGATCTTCACTTTCCTCCTCTACTTATCCTCCCTTGCCTGCTCTCCGTGCGATAAGAGTTGGACTGAGTTTTGGTTTTTCTTATTGCATCACACTGTCACAGTAGGGTGTGGTATTCAGACATACTTAAGCTCCAGGCAGACTCTCTAAGGGCCCTTCCAGATCACCCAGGTCTCATGTCTTAGAATGTTACTCCACCATGCTATTTTAGGGTCACTGGCTTTTTTGGCATGGTGGTTGATGCCCAGTTCCTGAGGGGGCAAGGGCATTTTGGATTTGTTCATCCTAGAGTGTGCCCAGTGGGATGCAACCTGTCCTTCCCCCAATCTAGTGTGGACCAGCCTTGACCTTGATTTCCATCCAGGGATACATTTCAACCTAGGCCATTCTGTTTTTTAGCCTGTTGGCCTCTCATTTCTTGTGTAATATTTTTTCTGCAAAGTGTTGCGGTGACTTTGTGGGACAATTAACTTGAAGATTGTCCTTACCCACAAGGTGGCTTTCTCTGAGTTTTCAGATGTGCAGGGGTAGTCTTTTGAGCTAATTGTCTTTTCTGGCTAGGAACCTTTCCAGGTGTTGCCTAAGGTATTCCAAGATGGTTAACCCTCTCCACATTTGCCAGGACATAGTTCCTCCTTCTTTATGTCCTGCTCTGAAACATCCCAAGGAAGTTCCTCTCAAGTGTTTGGATGTAGTATGCATCATGAGGGTCTTCTTCTCTGTTACAGCCTTCTTTAAGAGATCTGATTCCCTCTTTGCTCTACCCCAAGGGTTCCTTCAAGGGACTCCCTGACTTTTTCTCCACTTTTACTATTAGTATTTTATTTATTATTTATTTACTGATTAGATCTGTCACCTTTGATCCTATGGCCTTTGGGATAGGGCTTCTCTCCTTCCTGTTAAGATACACTTTCCAGGTTTGTGGGTGCTTTAAGGCTGGAGCTTAACAAATCCAAGGCGCCAGTGGGAAGTCACGCCCCCTAGACTTCAATGGGAAGTCGCGCCCCCTAGACTTCAATGGGAAGTCGCGCCCCCTAGACTTCAAGGGAAGTCGCACGTCCCCTAGACTTCAATGGGAAGTCGCGCCTCCACTAGACTTCAATGGAAAGTCGCACCTCCCCTAGACTTCAATGTGAAAACTCATGTCAATAGCAATCCTATATGAACACTTACAGTGGGGCAAAAAAAGTATTTAGTCAGCCACCAATTGTGCAAGTTCTCCCACTTAAAAAGATGAGAGAGGCCTGTAATTGGCATCATAGGTAGACCTCAACTATGAGAGAAAATGAGAAAACAAATCCAGACAATCACATTAGCTGATTTGGAAAGAATTTATTTGCAAATTATGGTGGAAAATAAGTATTTGGTCACCTACAAACAAGCAAAATTTCTGGCTCTCACAGACCTGTACCTTCTTCTTTAACCACTTGCCTACCAGGCACTTATACCCCCTTCCTTACCAGGCCAATTTTCAGCTTTCAGCGCTGCCGCACTTTGATTGACAATTGCGCGATCATGCAACATTGTACCCATATGAAATTTTGGTCATTTTTTTCTCACAAATAGAGCTTTCTTTTGGTGGTATTTAATCGCCACTGGGCGCTTTACTTTTTGCGCTATAAATAAAAAAAGTGCAAAAAATTTGAAAAAAAAAAAAGTTTGTTTCTTTTATAAAATTTTTCAAACAGGTGTATTTTTTCTCCTTCACTGATGTGTGTTGATGAGGCAGCACTGATGGGCACTGATAGGCGGCACTGATGGGCACTGATAGGCAGCACTAAAGGGCACTGATAGGCAGTACTAATGAGGTGGCACGGATAGGAGGCACTGATAGACAGCACTAATTAGGGGTCACGGATAGGCGGCACTGATATGCAGCACTGATAGGCGGCACTGATAGGTGACACTGATTATGGGTACTGATAGACGGCACTGACTGGCATCACTGCTGGGCACTGACTGGTGGCACTGACTGGCACAACCCCTGGGCACTGACTGGCAGCACTGCTGGGCTGCACTGGTGGGTGGCACTGGTGGGCAGCACTGGTGGGTGGGCACAGGTGGGTGGCACTGGTGGGCACAGGTGGGTGGCACTGGTGGGCACAGGTGGGTGGCACTGGTGGGCACATGTAGGTGGCACTTCTGGGCACAGGTAGATGGCACTGCAGAGTGGCACAGGTGGGGGCACTGCTGGGCACAGGTGGGGGCACTGCTGGGCACAGGTGGGGGTACTGCTGGGCACGGGTGGGCGGAGCTAGTGGGCGCACTGCTGGGCGGAACTTGCGGGTGTCACTGCTGGGCACCGATCATCAGGGCACTGATCATCAGTGCCCTGATGATCGGTGCCGATCCCCGCTCTGACAACTGCCGGTTCTCGACAGTACTTTCCTCACAATCTGACAGCGTGAGGAAAGTGCAGCCGAGAACCGGCACTTGCATTTCCCTGTGATCAGCGTGTCATTGGACACCGCTGATCACGTGGTAAAAGGCCGCTGTGATTGGCCTTCTACCACATCACGTGATCAGCTGTGTCCGTAGGACACAGCGATCAAGGAGATCGCCGGGTGCGCAGGAGAGCGCGTTCTGGGAGGACGTCATATGACGTCCACTCAGAACTGGCCGGCCGCGGTGAAGCCGTCATTCGGCTATGCGCGGTCGGCAAGAGGTTAAGAGGCTCCTCTGTCCTGCACTCATTACCTTTATCAATGGCACCTGTTTGAACTTGTTATCAGTATAAAAGACACCTGTCCGCAACCTCAAACAGTCACACTCCAAACTCCACTATGGTGAAGACAAAAGAGCTGTCGAAGGACACCAGAAACAAAATTGTAGACCTGCACCAGGCTGGGAAGACTGAATCTGCAATAGGCAAGCAGCTTGGTGTGAACAAATCAACTGTGGGAGCAATAATTAGAAAATGGAAGACATACAAAACCACTGATAATCTCCCTCGATCTGGGGCTCCACGCAAGATCTCACCCGTGGGGTCAAAATAATCACAAGAACGGTGAGCAAAAATCCCAGCACCACACGGGGGGACCTAGTGAATGACCTGCAGAGAGCTGGGACCAACGTAACAAAGGCTACCATCAGTAACACACTACGCTGCCAGGGACTCAGATCCTGCAGTGCCAGACGTGTCCCCCTGCTTAAGCCAGTACATGTCCGGGCCCATCTGAAGTTTGCTAGAGAGCATTTGGATGATCCAGAAGAGGATTGGCAGAATGTCATATGGTCAGATGAAACCAAAATAGAACTGTTTGGTAGAAACACAACTCGTCGTGTTTGGAGGAGAGAGAATGCTGAGTTGCATCCAAAGAACACCATACCTACTGTGAAGCATGGGGTGGCAACATCATGCTTTGGGGCTGTTTTTCCGCAAAGGGACAGGACGACTGATCCATGTACAGGACAGAATAAATGGGGCCATGTATCGTGAGATTTTGAGTGCAAACCTCCTTCCATCAGCAAGGGCATTGAAGATGAAACGTGGCTGGGTCTTCCAACATGACAATGATCCCAAACATACCGCCTGGGCAACGAAGAGAGTGGCTTCGTAAGAAGCATTTCAAGGTCCTGGAGTGGCCTAGCCAGTCTCCAGATCTCAACCCCATAGAAAACTTAGAGGGAGTTGAAAGTCCGTGTTGCCCAGCGACAGCCCCAAAACATCACTGCTCTAGAGGAGATCTGCATGGAGGAATGGGCCAACATACCAGCAACATTGTGTGCCAACCTTGTGAAGACTTACAGGAAACGTTTGACCTCTGTCATTGCTAACAAAGGATATATAACAAAGTATTGAGATGAACTTTTGATATTGACCAAATACTTATTTTCCACCATAATTTGCAAATAAATTCTTTCCAAATCAGCTAATGTGATTGTCTGGATTTTTGTTTCTCATTTTGTCTCTGATAGTTGAGGTCTACCTATGATGCCAATTACAGGCCTCTCTCATCTTTTTAAGTGGGAGAACTTGCACAATTGGTGGCTGACTAAATACATTTTTGCCCCACTGTATATTCACATGCCTCTCTACTTTATCACTTGCGAGTCTGGAACGCATTGTTACAAACTCGCACAAGACCCTTTTCATAATGGCATTCAAAACACAATGCGTGTGGATCGTATCTGTGTGAAGCACCTCAATAGGAACACAAAATATCTAGCCTGTCATGCAAATCTGTGAGCTTAAAAACGAATCCAGAATCGCATATGTGTGAACCAGGGTGGGCCCATTTACACCTGGGCATTTTGGGATCGCAGCAGAATCACTGTGGTCGCAAAGCGTAGGTTCAGGTCCCAATTTGTTTAATGGTGCCTAAAACGTGGTTCGGTTCTGCCATGATTGTCTTGTGACAAATCGCTTCGTGTGAAGTTCTGGGCTCTGACAACCCAAGCTACACTAAAAAAAACTTGGCTCATAACTTTTTCATCTGGCTCCTAGATTCAAAGTAAATTTCTCAAACCCTGCCTTAAGGACTGTCAGCATCTCAGATTTACAAGCCTGCCTCCTGGTCTTGTGTTTCAATGTTTCATCGCAGGTGGATGCTCAGGCCTCCTTGATGCCAGCTTGGTTATTCATGTTTCAAGCTGCTGTTTGAAGATTACAATTCATTACCCCATTTCTTCTGTGGTCCTGCTGGTGCTTGTTTACTTTGTTGTCCACCCCTCAGTTGTATTGCTTTTGAACGTCCAATTCACCTCAGACTATACTGAGAAATACAAATGGATCGATTTCTTGGCATACAGTATAAGACACAGGACCCTCCTCTGTGTATCCTCTTATTGCTAGCTATGAAAACTCAGGATTGATTTTTCACATGGGGTGTGTAAATGACAGGCTGGGTTCACAGGATATGGCCAAAATGACAAAGTTCCATTCTATCTTGGGGAGAACTGCCTGCACTGGACTGAGGAGGAAGTCAGGAATAGTGCTAGAGTGTGGAGCGGGTCCTCTTTGGGGTACTAATGGCACTATTAGGGGTTTCTAATAAGTAGGAAAACCAAGAGTTACATTATAATCCTAAATAATGCAGAGGTTATTACAAATGTTCATACAAAGAAAATCTGGGTAGCAGTGAACAAAACGTATTTTTATTTAATTTAAATTATGAACAATCGCATGTTTGAAAGACAGCAGCACATCATTTTAAAATACTTAATTTCCCAATGCTGAGGGCTGCTCTGCAAAACTTAGACTGAGATGAAATATTGTCATCAAGTACAGTGACCTTAAAAAGTATTCATACCCCTTGAGAGTTTCCACATTTTTTGTCATGTTACAACGAAAAACTTAAAATGTATTTTATTGGGTTTTTTTTTATAGACCAACACAAAGTGGCACATAATTGTGAAATGGAAAGAAAATGAAAAATGGTTTTCAAAATTATTTACAAATATAAATCTGAAAAGTGTGGCGTGAATTTGTATTCAGTCCTCTTTACTCTGATACCCCTAACTAAAATCTAGTGGAACCAGTTGCCTTCAGAAGTCACCTAATTAGTAAATAGTCTACCTATGTGTAATTTAATCTCCATATAAATACAGCTGTTCTGTGAAGCCCTCACAGAGAAAATTAGTGAACAAGCAGCATCACGAAGGCCAAAGAACACACCAGACAGGTCAGGGACAAAGTTGTGGAGAAGTTTTATAGCAGGGTTAGGTTATAAAAAAATATAACACAATTGCAAACCTACCAAGACATGGCCGTCCACCTAAACGGACAGGCCAGGCAAGGAGAGCATTAATCAGAGAAGCAACCAAGAGGCCCATGGTAACTCTGGAGGAGCTGCAGAGATCCACAGCTCAGGTGGGAGAATCTGTCCACAAGACAACTGTTAAGTCATGCACTTCACAAATCTGGCATTTATGGAAGAGCGGCAAGAAAGCCATTGCTGAAAGAAAGCCATATAAAAGTCCTGTTTGCAGTTTGCAAGAAGCCATGTGGGGGATACATCAATCATGTAGAAGAAGGTGTTCTGGTCAGATGAAACTAAAATTGAAATTTTTGACCTAAAAGCAAAATGCTATGTCTGGTGGAAAGCTAACACTGCACATCACCCTGAACACACCATCCCCACCGTGAAACATGGTTGTGGCAGCATTATGTTGTGAGGATATTTTTCTTCAGTAGGGACAGGGAAGCTGGTCAGAGTTGATGGGAAGATGGATGGATCCAAATGCAGAGCAATCTTAGAAGAAAACCTGTTAGAGTCTGCAAAAGACTTGAGAGTGGGGTGGAGGTTCACCTTCTAGCAGGACAACGACCCTAAACATACAGCTAGAGCTACAATGGAATGGTTTAGATCAGTGGTTCTCAACCTTTCTAACGCCGCGACCCCTTAATACAGTTCCTCATGTTGTGGTGACCCCCAACCATAAAATAATTTTTGTTGCTACTTCAGAACTGTAATTTTGCAGTGGGAGGAATAGTGCCCCATCATTGGTATCAGTGGGAGGACTAGCGCCCCATCATTGGTATCAGTAGGAGGAATAGTGTCCCATCGTTGGTATCAGTGGGAGGAATAGTGCCCCATCATTGGTATCAGTGGGAGGACTAGCGCCCCATCACTGATGTCAGTGGGAGGAATAGTGTCCCATCGTTGGTATCAGTGGGAGGAATAGTGTCCCGCCATTGGTGTCAGTGGGAGGATTAGTGCCCCATCATTGGTATTAGTGGGAGGAATAGTGCCCCATCATTGGTATCAGTGGGAGGACTAGCGCCCCATCACTGATGTCAGTGGGAGGAATAGTGTCCCATCGTTGGTGTCAGTGGGGGGAGGAATAGTGCCCCATCGTTGGTGTCAGTGGGGGGAGGAATAGTGCCCCATCGTTGGTGTCAGTGGGGGGAGGAATAGTGCCCCATCGTTGGTGTCAGTGGGGGGAGGAATAGTGCCCCATCATTGGTGTCAGTGGGGGGAGGAATAGTGCCCCATCGTTGTGTCAGTGGGGGAGGAATAGTGCCCCATCGTTGGTGTCAGTGGGGGGAGGAATAGTGCCCCATCGTTGGTAGTGCCCCATCGTTGGTGTCAGTGGGGGAGGAATAGTGCCCCATCGTTGGTGTCAGTGGGGGGAGGAATAGTGCCCCATCGTTGGTGTCAGTGGGGGGAGGAATAGTGCCCCCATCGTTGGTGTCAGTGGGGGGAGGAATAGTGCCCCATCGTTGGTGTCAGTGGGGGGAGGAATAGTGCCCCATCGTTGGTGTCAGTGGGGGGAGGAATAGTGCCTATCATTGGTGTCAGTGGGGGGAGGAATAGTGCCCCATCGTTGGTGTCAGTGGGGGGAGGAATAGTGCCCCATCGTTGGTGTCAGTGGGGGGAGGAATAGTGCCCCATCATTGGTGTCAGTGGGGGGAGGAATAGTGCCCCATCGTTGGTGTCAGTGGGGGGAGGAATAGTGCCCCATCGTTGGTGTCAGTGGGGGAGGAATAGTGCC